AACTAGGCAGAGATATTTTATTTTCTTTCCCTACATTTATTAACAAGGTAATATATTACTAAGATTATGAGATTACAATAATTTTAAGCACAAAATATATAATGTATTTATTATTACTTAATTACATACATACTCTATATAGTTCCTTCTTTTCTTAATGTGCAATTGATATGATAGCTTTACGTTGAAATATAGTCAATCTAATATGTGTTTATATATATATATATATAGTTTGTTTTGATTCTAACATTTAAAAGAATTGGCTTAATTGACATAATTTTCCTTTTTAAAAAAAAAAAAAACTAATTTAAACTGAATCATGAATATCCTACTTCATTCTTAAATTGAATTGGTATCTGATTATCAATACACCTTAATGGTCATGTCTAGTTATATAATAATATTTAATAAAAACAGAAACTAAAACTTAGCGTCTTCGAAAGTTTTGGAGATATGTAAAATACTAAGATCAATAATATAAGATTTAATTTGCCAATAAAAACTAAGATACAACATCCTTAGATTTGTTAATTTTTGCTCGTAAAAGTTGTGTGTACCATTCCGATGTAATACAATGTCCATAAACTATGTATGTCTTAAATATTGATTAAAGCTCTTCACTTTCCTATCTCATTTCGATGTAGAATTCACCTAAGATTTCAATTGTTATATACACTTCACCTTCAAATGCTTGTCAGTCTAGAAATCTGTCAATCCTGCTTGACCTTTTAAAATGGTGAATTGTTAGGTTTCTTTCCATAACTCACAGGATAACTTTAGAGTCAAATAATTTTCTTTTATCCTTTTCAATCATCTCTAACTAATATATAACTTGAGAATTCTACCAATATATATTGGAGAGAAGTATTAAAAATACCCTAAACTTGACGCAAATTATTAGTTTCACCCCCGAACTATTGACAGCTTTGAAAACACCCATTTACTTGACTAATTGAAGCTAAGTACACCCCTGATCTTGCAACATTAGTGAAATATACCCTTAAATTCTCGTCAAGTTTAGGGGTGTTTTCAACACTTCTCTCGATTTTTATTAAGAACTCCATGCTCCTACAAGAGTTTGAGACTACTTGCTAAGTCATGTTGCATATCGGGAGTGTATCAGGGGTGTATCTAAGTTTAGTTAGTCAAGTAGAAGGATGTTTTTAAGGCTGTCAATAGTTCGGGAATGAAATTAATAATTTGTGCCAAGTTTAGGAGTGTTTTTGATACTTTTCTCGTATATATTGCCACTTACATGTTAAAAAAGAAAGCCTACTAGATATGATAGAATTAATTTATCTTGATTTTATAATATAAGTTCCCATTTTTTTTTATCTTCATAGGAGGAAATATCTGATTGTTTCAACATAAAAGCAAGAGATGATCAGTTTATAAATTTCTAATTTGAATTATATGTGAACATTAATGAAGCAAATAGAAAACAAAAATGCAGCTACAAACCATCAAATAAGAAACTAACAGACTACTCTTGATGACAAAAAAAAACTGATATTCTAATCCATATGGTAAAAACTGAACCTACAAACAAAAGCTAAATGTTGATCACAAAAAACTACACAATAAAAACATAATACATTTTAGAATAGTCTCTTCCAAATAGGGTGCTGCATCCACACTCTTTCGACCATGGAATCAATCGGAACTCCCTTCGTTTCAGGCAAGAAGAAGAAGACGAATAATCCCATGACAACAATCCATCCAGAGAAAAAGAAGAAAATGTAGGCTTTCATAGTGCAAAGCATAGTCAAGAAAAGTTGTGCAATGATAGATGTGAAGAGCAAGTTTGTGCTGACCGCGAAAGCAAAACCAGTTGTCCTTGTTTCCAATGGGAATGTCTCGCTAGGAATTAAACAACCAGAAGCACCACTATTGCTGCAAGTGTCCTGTTCAACGTTCCTGTCTCCGATAAACTTGTTACCAAAATTGCACCGATTGCCAACTGAGAAATTAACATCTGACAACAAGATTGGAGGAACAATTTCCTCCTTCCAACCTTGTCAACAAGGTAGATCGAAACGAATGTGCTTCCAACGTTAACAATTCCAGTAATGACAGAGGACAGAAGCGAGGCATTGGCCTTGAATCCCATAGTCTGAAACAGAACAGGCGCGTAAAACATAATAGCGTTGATTCCAGTAAATTGCTGAAAGATTTGCAACAACACACCAATCACAAGAGGCGGAATGCTAGCAGGCTTCAGTAAATTCTTCAACGAATGCTTAACTTGCTTGGTATGTTCACACGCTGCCACGATTTCTTTATACTCAGCCTCAACATCACTGACACCCCTAATCTTCACGAGCGTGGACTTCCCCTGTTCCTCATTACCACGCTCAATTAGACTCGTAGGGGGTGTCAGTGATCACAAAACTACCAATAAACAGAATCACCGTGGAAATAGCTGCAAATCCAAGTGATATTCTCCAACCATATGGATGTATCATTGAAGTTCCATAGTTAACAAAATTTGCAATGAATATTCCTATAGTCACAAACAATTGAAACATGATATTCACAGCTCCTCTGTGTTGGATTGGTGCAACTTCAGTTAAAAACAGAGGAACAGTCTCGTTTCCGAATCCAACACCAATACCAAACAAAATTCTACCAAAAATAAGCATCAACTTGTTCTCCGCGACAGCACTCAATACAGCTCCAACAATGAAAAAGATTGACGCGATCAAAATAGTTATCTTTCTTCCTAATTTAGTAGCGGCTTTTGAAGCAAAAAAAACTGGCGAAAAGAGCGGATATGTATAAGGATGAAGTGAAGAGTTGGAGAAGCCAATTATCATATTTGCAATAGTTATTTTCTTTAGCATGTAACTTTGTTTGATAAACATGTGGGAAAAATTTAATCAAGAAATCATCCGTAGCAGAAACTCCTCCAGAAATACCAATATCGTAACCAAACATCAATCCACCAAAAGCAGCAAAAATCCAACAAGACACCACGTATACTGTGATCTTAGAATTGTTCATCCTAACGTTCACCATTTTCGCTATGAAAAACTTTTTTTCCTGAAGAAAGATATTTTATTTATAAAGTTATGAACTCTCTACTATTTGTTAATAGAAAATAGCCAGCAAACTACGTTTATTTATAATGGTATAAGACCTAATTTAGGTAGGATTAGAAATTCTAATCCTATATTATTTAGACTAAAGTTTTATTAGTCCATTCTTTTTCCTAAAGTTTTATATATTTAGCACAATATTACCGCTTTAAACATCATTGTTTCAATTGGAATACTAGAAGGATAAGGAAACTATTTAGGTAATTTTTTTTAGGAAAGGTGTGATATTATTTCAATTCCTATTTTCTTGTAATTTTATTTGAATCTATTGAAATTTTCTCTTTATTTTTTGCTTATATTTTTTTGTGTCTTTTGGTAACTAGACGTGTATAGGCCTAAATAGTAATTATCTGTAAATTAAGACCCTTGATTTTTTAAGTGTTAATGACATTCGTAGATATAATTTCAAAACGAAAAGGAGTATAAATAAAGTGATCACGATCTATAGACTGAGATATAAGTAGTTATTATTGGTGTATTGAGTCATGACGTGCAAAGCCCTCGTTTCGAAATATAATTTATCTACACCTCATATCCAAGTTTCACTATATATAATTTTGAGAGTCAAACTTCACTTCATCGCAATATTTATGATGTTGGAGATGGTTAAAGAATTTTTATATTCGATAAGATGCTTAAAAAGAGATATTATGTTTATAACGTAGGAGATGAAGTGATTCATGTAAATGATTTGAGATGCCATACTCAGAGATAATGGTAAATATTATTAAAAGATGAAACTAACCATACAACATAATGAAGAAGAATATTAAACTAGAAGCAAGATTTATAAGCAATGCAAAACTGAACCTACAAATTAATAAAAGTAAGAATCTGATCAAAAGCCTTTTGAAGCTTGCAGAGTACTTTTTTTTTATCACAAAAAAACTACTACTTAATAAAAGCAAATGCATTTTAGAAGAGTTTATTCCAAATAAAGGTGCTGCTGCATCCACACTCTTTCGACCATGGAATCAATCAGGACTCCCTTTGTTTCAAGCAAGCTCCTGCAGCAGCTCACGCAGTTGCAGCTGATGTCAAAAGTGCTGGTGTGATGGGAGCTGCGTCAGGACTAGCTAAAACAATCTATGCTAAGTATGAGCCCACTGCCAAGAAACTTCACACCAAGTACGAGCCAATGGCCGAGCAATATGCTGCATCAGAGAAGGGATACAAGGTAGCTTTATATCTTCCATTGGTACCTACTGAGAAGATTGCTGCTAAGGTATTCACTATTCAGGTTGTGGCAAACTGATTTACTTTATGATTCGTAAGTAGTACTCAATTTTCCTCGTCTCAGCTTCTGTCTTTGCTTGTTGATCATTTTCCTATGCTTCTATCTTGATTTCTTCTCGTTTAAACCTTGAGAACGATAACCAGCAAGTCATACAGTATGTAGCAAATTGACAATTTAAATTAAAAAAAACAACACATGAGCTTCCATTGAGAATCAGCATTGATCAAATAATTGTTGGTTCTTGTTTTTTTTCTCTTCTGATAAATAAGTTTTCATCAGACTATGCTCCAGATCATACATAAAGAGCACCCATCACCATGAAGAACAAAGTGTAGAAGAGGTTGACGAGCATCTTAGGGATAAAAGCTAGCAAATCCTTTTTTTAAAAATATATAACAGGATCAATGTCATTAATGGGGCTCCAAGGAGGTCCCGTAAATAACCTAGCTTGACTTGTAGCTATATTCTAAACCTCAACCAAAAGGCTCCAGAACTAAAATAAGATCTTACTTTCACGGAAATACCTGGACAAGTACTTCGCTTTCTCTGCATCCTCCCAAGCAGCTGCACGAGTCTCAGTGACAGTTGTATTTGGTTGGAGAGCTTATCAGTTTTCAGCAAGCTGGATACATTTCTATCCTCACCATCTTTGCTAGCCCAAGCAGTTATATTCATTTCACCAAGTTAAGTTCCAAGTGCCATGATTTCTCGTCGAGTTTTCATCTGTAATTCCTGGTCAGACAATTCATTTGTGCGAGCATCCAAATTATCATTTGAAGGATAAAAAGAAGAGGTGTTGTTGCTCTCACAGGTGTCCGTCCTGGAAGGTTCCTGGCTTGCAATTGGAGTCATTTCCATGCCCATATCTCTCATCGAGACTGACCTTGCAGTCGATGGTGGGGGATAACAGTTGCACTATGTATAGAAACAGACGAATCATGACGGCTCAGATTTACTGCAAAAATATACAATCGTTTATCATCTTGCATCCAAAAATTCATCATATTTCAACAATTTACTGTGGACGATCATGAATCAAGCACGTAAAGGCACCATAAAGCTTAAGTTCCATGCATATAGTAAATACTAGTTTCTGGACACATGTGTTGCACGTGTGTCTCATGTGAATTAATAGACTTCCTAAAATGGAGTATATAATACTCTATTCAAATATGTGTAGAATGAGCAATTGAAAATCTGAAAGGAAAAAATATAATTTCAAATTGATAAACAATCAAGCTAGTTGCATGACTTCATTCGTGAATGTAAAATCATTTGACATCTCCTGAACCTGCAAAGTTGAACAATAATTCAGTTAGGAAGTAGATTCAAATACGATATATATTTGTAATGCAAGATTACTTTTTTGTCATGTAACAAAATGAGATACATGCTCAGAGTTATTTTCTTTCTTTACAAAGCTAGCACTTAAAGTATGATTATATTAGTTAATAATGGGAAAAAAACTATCTATACTATATTAAAAGTGAGACCTAAGCAGCCAAAAAAAATAAAGTGTTAAAGGAGATAAAAGTAATGGTCTACAAAAATAAATACGACAAGAAATTCATTCTTATTTGTCCACCAAATCTATTAAAATGTTCAATAAATATCAGGCGACCGTACAACTCCTAGATAAGGATCTATGTTTTTAGTAATTAATCCAACGGTAAGGAACCTGAATAGGGGGGGACAGAATCAAACAAGAACATTCAGGTTCCTTGTACCTACATTCATGGAAACTAGTTCCATGATTGTTCGTTCTTGTTGGGTTTCAGCCCTGCATTCAGGTTCTTACTGTTGTATTCAATACCAAAACATAGGTTCTCTATCCAAGAGTTGTAAGGTCGCCCAATATTTATTGAGCTTTTTAATAGATTCGGGAGACAAATAAAGATGAATTTCTTGTCGTATTTCTCTTTGTAAATGATTACTTTAATCTCCTTTTAACATAGTTATTTCGATTCTTGTTTCTTGCATTAATTCTAAAGTTTTTTCTATTTGCTACGTGTTCGTATTCACTAGTCGTAAAGAAACTAGTTTTACAAAGGGGTGTACCTGAGATGAAGAGGTTACATTGTTTTGCCTCTGAGCTTATGTGTTCTCCATTGATCCTACTTGTCCCATAGATGAGAAAAAACCATAGTTCTTTGTGCTTATCCCTGCATTTGCCATTGACGGTACAAAGGTTTATGTCTTGGATGTTCGGGTAGACTAGTGAGGGGATGTCGTTGTCATTAGATAGGTTTGGTTCATGGAAATGTACATTGGTGTCTCCCATGTTGGAATGTGAAAAAACGATAACCCAAGAATTGGTAGTTCATTGGTGGTTGAAGAGTTGTCGACATTCATAGATGGTTGTTGTAAGTCTCCATGGCTCTCCTTATTTCGTCTGACACAATTTGATCTTTGAAAAAAAGATTTTGTATCACTAGCATCATTTCTTAATTTTCCATCAAGACATGCAGTGTTAGAGAGTGACCTTGGAGACCCAAGATGAAGGGTTCGTGTTGGGTACTACTTACTAGCGTTGTCATGTAGATGGGGGTTATACCTGCAACCAATCAACCCACTTGTAATAAGAGAATCGGTGGTAAAGTTTGTTTGGTTTGGATTCATAGTTGATTGAGTGGGTAGAGAAGAGATTGTTTGCTTTGGTCAAAGATGAGATCATATGGGTCTTCTGCTCATTGATATTTAAAGGAGGCAAATCAATTGTGATAAAAGTAGTATTTATTGTAGTTTTTAATATTCCTAGAATGTTGGAACTAAGGGTAGAAGGATTAACTGTCTGAACTAGTAGTATTTATTGTAGTTTTGATGTTCTGACATATTGAAAGAAAAAAAGGACCAACTATCAAGAATAAGGTTATGTAATAGATCTACCCTCTTTGTTTTGAGCAAATATAGAAGTGTGTCCACATGAAGAAACTATAGAGCTGACTTATTCTATTCATTTTCTTTCCTTCCCAAGTTCTACATGTAGTTGTCATTCTTAAATAGAGATTTCAACTTAAAATTTTTGAGTTTTGGCAGTTAATCCTTCTACTCCTTGTTCTAACATCCTAGGAATATTAAGAGCTACAATAAATAATATTCTATTCTCATAAATTGTATCGCAATAGATTTGCCTCATTTAAATATCAATGATTAGAAGATCCATATACTGACAAAAAGCGAACAACCTCTTCTCTACCCACTCAATCAATCATGGATCCAAACCAAACGAATTTGACCACCAATTCCCTTAATACCATTGGACAGATTGGTTGAGCGTGCAACCTCCATCTACGTGACGCCGTCAATACCCAACACAAACCCATCATCTTGGGTCGAAATGGGTCTCCAAGGCCACTCTCTAACACTGCATGTCTTGATAGAGAATCAAGAAATGATGCTAGTGATAAAAAATCCTTCCTAGCTCAGATTGTTTCGAAGAGGATGAGGAGAGCCATGGAGACTTACAACAGCCATCTATGGATGTCGACAACCCTTCAGCCACCAACTCCTAAGGTTACTATTTTTTCACATTCCAACATAGAAGACACCATTGTACACTCCCATGCACCAAACTCATCCAATAGCAATGACAACCCCCCACCAAGCTATCTGAACATCCGAGACATAGACCCATTGTACTATCACTAGTAAATACAGTGACTAGCATAGAGAACCGAGGTTTTTTACCCAACTATGGGACATGTGGGATTAATAGAGAGAGCACATGAGCTCAGATGCAAAACAACATAGCCACATTACCTTAGGTACACCCCTGTAAAACTAATTTCATTACGACAATTCATATTCACTGGTCATAAAGGAACTAGTTTTACAGGGAGGTGTACCTGAATTGAGGAGGTTACATTGTTTTGCCTCTAAGTTCATGTGCTCTCAATTGATCACACTAGTCCTGTAGTTGGGAAAAAACCCTAGTTCCATGTGCTTGCGCCTGCATTTGCCAATGATGGTCCAAATGATCTATGTTTTAGATGTTCGGGTAGCTTAGTGGGGTGGGGGGGAGTCACTGCTATTGGATGGTTTTGGTGCATGAGAGTGTACAGTGGTGTCTCCCATGCTGGAATGTGAAAGAATGATAACCCCGGGAGTTGGTGGCTAAATGGTTGTCAACATCCATAGATAATTGTTGTAAATCTCCATGGCTCTCCTCATCCCCCTCCAAAACAATCTAAGCTAGGAAAGATTTTGTATCACTAGCATCAATTCTTGATTCTCCATCAAGACATGCAGTGTTAAAGAGTGGCCTTGGAGACCCATTTTGACCCAAGATGACGGGTTTGTGTTAGGTATTGGTGGCATCGTGCAAATGGGGGCTGCACCCGCAACCAATCCGTCCACTAGTATTAAGGGAATTGTGGTAAAATTCGTTTGGTTTGAATTCATGGTTGATTGAGTTGGTAGAGAAGAGGTTGTTCGGTTTTGTCAGTGATGAGATTGTATGAGTGTTCTTTTAATTGATATTTTATGGACGCAAATCTATTGTGATAGAATTTATGGTAATAAAAGTAGTATTAATTGTAGTTTTAATATTCCTAGAATGTTGGGACTAGGAGTAGAAGGATTAACCTAGTAGTGTTTATTGTAGTTTTGATTTTTTGACATAATGAAAGAATAAAAGAGAGAAAGGAAGGACTATCAGATAGAAGAACAACACCGTCCATGTAGTGACTACATCTTGTATATAACTACTAGTATATCTTCAACTTATAAGGTGCTCAAGGCAATTTCTTTTTTTTGTACTAGGAGATGTACGTAGACCTAACCCCTACTTTTGTGGAGTAGGAAGACTATTTCAATAGATCCTCAACTCAAAAGAAAAGTTATTGAAGCATGCTTGAAAAAAGACACCAACTAAAGATAGTACAATCACGTAAGAAAATCATGATAATTTTACTCACTTATTTGCTAATACTTTGTTGTCTAGCAGGCTCAAATGGTTATTAAGTGCCAAAGGAAGTTCAAGTGAGTCGAGAGTAAGGAGAAAAAACATATTTCCCCATCTGTCAGTGAGATGTCTTAACTTTGGAAATATATATTGAAGATCAATTTGAAAATGAGCAGTTTCCATTCTCATGATGAT